CTCTCTGACTTGTTCTTCTCTTCCCTCCGTTGAAGACAAAGCAGCCGCTAACACCGACAGTTTCAATTCTGTTATTTGTGGAGGTCTCCGCTCATTCCTTCCCCCGTTCTCGTGTTACCATTAGCCACCGTTGTTGCCCACCTTCTTTGTGTCACTGCCACCACCGTATGTCTCTAGGTGGGTGGCTGGGTCCATTTTTCAAACAAAAAACATGTGTGTGTAATTCTGCTATGCGTGTGTGTTGTGTGTGTGGGGTTGTTTGGCCGGAATTCGCGATAAAAGACACAACCACCACCATGAGGTGGTGGCTGCCACCTTGTACCACCGCCGACCACCACAAGGGTGGCTATGTGTGTGTGTGTCAATCTTATGGTGTGTGTTTATTTTGGGATATTGCATTGTATAATTGTAATGAGTGACGGAATAATCAAGAAATTCATAACCACCACCGTGAGGTGGTGGCTGTCGCCTTCTGCCACCACCAGCTGCCGTGTTGGGTGGCAGTGTGATTTTTCTTGTGTTTAGACTGCTTTTGGGATGCATGGACATGATTGGACTAGAACGATAACCACCTCCATGAGGTGTCGGGTGCCGTCGTCAACCACCACCGCCCTAGGTGGCAGTGGGTGGTGCTTAACCTAATGAAACCCTAATTGACCAAAGGAAACCGTAGTTGACCTAATGAAACATTAACTAACCTAAAAATCTAATCATTTAACTAATGGGGATATGACTGGGCTAGAAACACTAATTAGGATTTAGAAAACCCTAATTTTGGATTTGTTGGTTTGGACTTATCGAGACCCGCATTTTGGGCCATTGGAATTGAATTATGAATTACACCCTATCACACCATAAGATTTATCTAGTAGAGTGACGGATTTAATGGATTAAGTCCTTAATGGATTAAGTAAGAAACACTTTACCCTAATCGTTATTTTATGTGAAAACCCTAATTTTGCTTGGGCCTTGAGTTGGGCCTTACTATTGGGTTTTGGTGATTGGGCCATTGATGGGCTATCCAAGAACAAGTATATGGACTAGAATATTTGAATGGGCTTTAGGGTAGGCCCATGTGAGGGTTTAGGCCCAATTTGGAAAATTGGGACATAGGTGGGCCATAATTGGGCCTTGATGATTATGAGATATTGGACCAATGGAATACCAAATGTTTGGACTGTAATAAATCGTTGGGCCTTAGGGTAAGATCATGTAAAGGTTTAGGCCCAATTTGGAAAATTGGGCCATATGTTGGGCTTTGACTCTTGGGCCTTTAGATTAGGCCTTGAGCTTGAATCAAATTAAGATGGGGGTAAATTAGTCTTTTACCCCAAGCATGGACTTATGGTTATGTATTGGAACCTAATTATTAATTGGGTGTTATTTTGATGTTGACAGTTCGAGAATCTGTCATCCAGTAGCTTAATTTTTGTGCACGGGACTTCAACAATGTGAAGTGAGTTACCTTCCAGTGGAGGTGGGTCTAAGGCACCAGTACCGGCCCACCAGTAGGTGATTATGTTTGAGATGATTGTCTTTGTGATAATTGCCTGGTTTGCCACTATATGTTATATATGTTTTATATGCTAGTATGCTATGTTATTATATGGTAGTAGTAGGGGTGAAATAGTCATCGGTTACCGGTTGAAAGAGACCGAAGATGTAGTCCAACACCCAAATATGCTAGGTAGTATGTGATTTTTGTGTATATGATAGGATATTATGTGGTAGTGGCAGGTTGTAAAAAGCGCTCGACAGACGCTCGACGGTCGACTGGTGCCAAGCGATTAATCGGTATTGGTGGCGATTAATCAGAGAGCCTTAATTACTAATTATTAATTATTAATTATTATTATTATTATTATTATTATTATATGTTAATATCCATAAAAAAGGTCATAATATACTATTTAAACATTCAAGAAATAAACCAACATAGTATAAGTCCATAAGAAGTTTTATAATCCAAAAAAACACATTTTCATATATTTAAATGATCATCTTCTTCTAATCTCCTCCGACTTCTTCCAATATTTGAACTCCATCTGATTCGTATTCACCTTCTTCAAACACTTGCTCCACATTCTCGGACTCGAAGTCTTCATCAAAAAGTTGTCTAGTTGTTGAATTTTGACGGGGTGCTTGATTATCATTAGTCCCAAGAGCTTCGTCAGTCGATTCCATAATCGATTTAGGGTCAACTTCATCTACATCACGATCATTACAATCAATAATCCATTCTTGAGCCAAATGTGAATCATTTGCCAAAAACTCTTCCAAAGTCCTATCTTTTCTCTTTTTGTTTTTTTTCCCATTAAATTAGCATTAAATTGAACAGAGACAAGATTGTTCAATCTATTTGTCTCCAATCTATTTTGTTTCTTTGTATGTACCTACAAAAGTACACAAAAAAGGTTTAAAAACCTTCTTGATATTTAAAGTTTATAACTTTATAACTAATCGCTTCAAACGTGCTCCAATTCCTTTCATAACCCAATGAACTACTAGTTAAAGAAAGAATCCCCATTCCAATCTTTGTCAAATGAGGAGTTGAGCTACCAAAAAGTCCCCACCATCTTACTATAATTTTTAAACAAAAACACATTAGTAAATTAATAGACATAATTTTTTATTGTTTTATAAAATAAATAAATAAAAGTAAAAAATTTACCCAGATCAAAGTCGGCATTGTTCACCATACAAGATTTATATGCAAGCTCCAGTCCAAATCTATCAACTTTTTCCTTGTACTTTGGCAAGTCAATAGTCATGAATTGTCTTTGGATCTCTAATTCTCCAAAAATTAATGTATCAAAAATTTCAAGAATCGCATCCATTATGTTGGGATCATGTTGGAGTTCTGAATCCTTATAATGAGAATAAGGATTCAAAAGATAAAACGTCAAATGTAATTTTGAATCTAGCCTACCTTTCATCCTGTTGGTTATAATATCTATAATAGGCTTCTAAGCTTTCTCTTGACCATCCAAAGCTTTCATAATTTCTTCTCTTGCTACTTTAATCTCCCCATAAACAAAACCCATTTAGGGCTTCCAATCTGCATCAACCATTTGAAGGACTTTCACCCAAGGGGAAAACAATTTTAAACATTATGTCACACCAGCCCAAAATTAGAGACTTGTCACCGTTCCATATGAGGCTCTCCCTTTAGGTGTACCGGAAAATTTGCATTCCTCCCATTCGGCGGTAGAGAACATATGCTTTAGTTGCTCCTTTTTTCAGATAAGCTTTGTAATGTTAGAAAGGCAGAAGCAAATCTCATAACTCCTGGTCGAATAATTTCCCTTTTCTTGGTGTAGTTTCTCATCATAGTCAAGGTTTTGTGGTGAGTATAAATGAGTATGGTTAGTTTCTTTGCTTGATCTAGGTCTTTCTAAATCTTCCACTAGTACCTTCAAGAAAAAACACGATTAAATAACAAATTAATGAATTATAGTATAAAATAAAACATGTTAAAACTAAAAAACTAAATAATATAATAAACAAAATATAAATACCTTCGAGCATAAGGTTAATGGTTTGTATTGCACATGATGACCAAAAAATAGTTGGTATTTTCTCTTTTAGTAACTTCGTGTCTCCCATGTTATTCGTGACATTATCGGTCACAACTTGAACAACATGCTCGGGACCAACTTGTTGAATGCAAAATTCCACATAATCATATATGTGTTGGCTTGTATGTGCTTCACCTGAACTTTCTTTTGATGATAAAAATGTTGCACCCATTTTTGAATTTACACATAAATTCATAATGTTACTTCTCTTCCTATCGGACCAAGCATCCTTCATGATCGAGCATCCAATCTCTTTCCATTCTTCTTCATTTCTTCTTCATTTCGCTCAAAGAATATCTAGTAGGAGGTGGAAGCCCGGTTCCAAATTGGCGAACAAACTCCAACATCATTTTAAAGCTATCATCTTCCAATGCATGAAACGAAATCACACTTTTATATGCCCACCTACTAATGAATTTATGACATGCTAATATTCTATCTTTCCGAACAATATTGTTAAGATAAACTTTTTTCGCTTTCCCTTCTTCAAAGCTTCTTTGGGGTTTATTTTGTTTGCAAAGTCATCCATGAGGCCTATAACATTTGGTGCTTTAGACCTTAAAAAATCTTCTATTTCATCCACGTCAACACTGTCATGTAATTTTTGCATTAAGGACTCATCATGTGTGCATTTAGCTATCTTTTTTTAACTTCCCTTCGTTAAGATAATTTCAAATTCTCAATTTGATCATCTTTTGTAGAATTTGGACATGAAGAAAAATTTCCCGTGACATGAGCAATATGTTGTTTAATTCTAGAAATCCCTCCACTAACGACTTTTCCACACAAGTTACATTTTACTTTATCCAACTTACACTACAAGGAACGAGACGCTTATATCGACGACTTTTTCAACACCTATGTCGACGACATGTCGTCGGTAAAACCCGACGGCTTGTTGACCGTACAAAGTCGCCGGTATAGCTCTGTCAGTAAAAGTCAAAATTGTCGTCGATATAGATGTCGTTGGTACAGATCCACCTATGACAACCACTTGTCGTCTATAAAGGATTGTCGGGAAAGATTTTCGATGTAAAAAAAAAGTTTTATTATAAATGTATACCGACGACTTGTCGTCGGGAAAAGTTTAAAATAGTGTTTACAGGTAAAACCTATGCCGACGACATGTCGTCCGTATAAGATTTTTTTTTTTTTTTAAAATAACAAAAGAAAAAGTCTTCATCTTCAAAATAACAAAAAGATTAACAAAAAAACATAATAAACATCTACTATAAAAATTACAAAACAAAAAACAAATCTTCATGTTCAAATCTAAAATTACAAACATGAAATCAAACATATATCAATTTCAACAAAAAAAATTAAACACTAACCTGTTTTGTTCTTCCTGATGTGATGGCCGGATTCCGGTGGTCGGATATGATGGTGGTGGCTGGTGGGCACCGGAAAAGCACAAAAAAAGAAAACAAAAGAAAGACCCCCCAAATTTGGAGTTAAAATCGTGAGAAATGATAAACAATCAAGAAAACAAGGACCAAATATGTACCTATATCTCGTCGCCGGTGAAGATGGTGCAAAATCGCCTGTCTAGTATGAGAGAGAAAGATTGTATGCAACTGAACAATGAACGATGCACTAATACCTTCTGCAAGGGTAGAATCCTATGCCGACGACATGTCGTCGGTATAGGGTTCAAATAACGACGTTGTTTCTATGTTTTGTCTTTTATTAAAAGAAATTAAAATTTTTATGCGGATCGCCACGTTGGATTCTTACCCTATACCGACGACTTGTTGTTAGCATAGAGTTTCAGAAAACTATGTTGTTTCGGTTTTCTACAATATGGAATAAAAATAAATAAAAATTCAATTTGTTGTACCCTATACCGACGACTTGTCGTCGGCATATCAGATGACCGCAAAATTTTTTGTCTTTCCCACCCACACTGTCCCGACGACTTGTCGTCTGGATACCTTTTAAGTTCAAACAAATCTGGTTAAAGTAGTCAAAAAGTTTTGGAGACTACTTGTCATCGGCAAAGACCACCTTTTAGCGACAACTTTTGTTATCGGGCTACGCGTGGTTGCAATAGCCTGTTATTCTTGTAGCTATTTTATCCGGGCAAAAACCATATTCCCAACAAATATTATCCAAATTCCGTTTATGAGTTATGGTGGCTGTAGATTCAGCCGTTGGTGAAGTAGAATTTTTAGATGTCATTGGCTAATCCACAACTATTATATATAGAAAAATAACATCCTAATTCAATTGTTAAACAATAATGGTGAAGTAGAATATGCTTCCTGTTCAAAATACAAATCATCATGTTGACAGTTCAAAATATAATTAAAGTAAACGTGAAACATTTGTTAATTGAATTCCTATCTTTATTTTTAAGATATATAAAAATGGGACGTTATATCTTACTGCACAAACCGCTACTTGCATTTCACTATCTTTTGAAAACTAGATATACATAATTCTTCTTTTCATATTCTCGAAGGGATAGTAATCCAAAACAGTCACACATATATACCATAGTCACACATATATACCATATACAAAAATTAGTTAAATGCTACATGGAGCTAGTTTATTTGATATTGAAGCTAGTTGTAACATATAAACTTTATTATTTTTAATACTAAATGAGCTACTTCTTTTAAATTATAAACTTTATTATTTTTTTCATGGTGGACCTAACCAGGAAGGCAGTAACCAATGATTGCAGGAAGGAGTGGATCCAGATTTTTTTTTCAATAAACTAAGGTAGATATTTGGACACGTTACCTGGGTGGTATGAAATAAATAGACTTTGTAGATAATACATTGTAAAGAAAATTCATTTGCTTATGAGTTGCGTCGTCGTAAGCATCACAGAGCAAAACACACACACGGTGTAATAGGTTACATACCTGAGTTGCGTTCGACGTCAGTTGGTATCGCCGGCGATGCCAGCGTCGGAATGAGTAGCCAATGAAACAACGATAAAATTGAGCCCTCGTCAAAGCTGCGTTCAGAGAAACAAAAAGCGAATGAATGAAATATTATGGCCATGATTTGATTTTGGAGTCTTTTTTCTAATTTTCACCGGCCATCGACTTTTTTTTTTTTTTTTTTTTTTTTTTTTTTTTTTTTAATTCGTTGACAATTGTTGACCGATTAGGCCGATTAGCCCGCCAAGAACTGGTTTTGACCGATATTGACCCAAAGCGATTAATGTGACCGCCAAGCTCTAATTGTAATCGGCATGAGGCCGCCAAGCGATTCATGGTCTATTAATCGGCTGTCATTACCGATTTTTGCAACACTGGGTAATGGTAAAGGTGAAATAGTCCCTGGTTACCGGTTGAAAGAGACCGAAGGGTAGGCCAACACCCATATATGCTAAGTGGTTACCGGTTAAAAGAGACCGAGGGGTAAGCCAACACCCATATATGCTAGGTGGTTACTGGTTGAAAGAGACCGAAGTGGTAGGTCGGACACCCAAATATGTCTGACATTATGTTATTTGTATGGTATGTGGTATGATAGGGGAAGCCACTAAGCTTTGTGCTTGCAGTTTTCAATTTTGATTTCAGGTAATTCGTTTTCAAAGGAAAGGAGCCGACTCAATTGCAACGCATTATACTATGTTTTCCGCACATGAGATCTTTGGGATTATACTATGATATTGTTTTATGATAACATGTTTTGATTAGTAACACTTTCGTTCTAACATGGGATGCTTTTATGGATGTTTTTATAATGTTGGTTTTATGAATTATTAAACTAAAAATGAAATTTTCTATTTTAAATTTTTTGATGTTTCAATATATATATATATATATATATATATATATATATGTGTGTGTGTGTGTGTGTGTGTGTGTGTTAATGAATAACATCGCTGTAGAAGATAAAGGAGATAATATATGCCAATGGAGCCGTGGTACATGACAATTTCAACCAAATTCAACGAAATATTTTTATAGCCGTTAGTATTCACAACACATAAAAAGAAGAGCAATTTCATAAGATTTGACCGATCATATCTATGATGATAAGGATGATTACAAGTAGTGCATTTACAGGTCTTGGGCTACTAATGTCATTTTTCAATTTAAATATTAAGGTATTTAATTTTATACAATTTATTTTTACAATTATTGAAAAAGTTAACATTTTCTAGTTAAAATGGTATGGTGTTGAGATGATATGACACACCATGCCACAAAAAATTGGGATGAAGGGAAGTACCCATTCTTAATAACACGAGTGAATAAATTTTGGGATAATGACTTGAAAGGGTAATGAACTTTCGACTTTTGTCACATTTAGTCACTAAACTTTTTTTCGTTATGTATTTGCCATTGAACTATTGAAAATGTTCACATTTTACCCTTATGACCGGCTATTACCGGTCATAAGGGTAAAATGTGAACAATTTCAATAGTTTAGTGGCAAATAGATAGCGAAAAAAAGTTTAGTGACTAAATGTGAACAAAATCGAAAGTTCGTTTCCCTCTAAAAAGTTCAATGACTAAATGTGAACAAACTTCCTATTGTATTATGTTTTAGCAAAATTATTTATTTTTGTTTAATTGTAGCAACATTTATTGATGAAAAAATCTATGAAATAAAAAAACAAAATGCAACATCCGGATTTCCAGGTATCATAATTTAAGTATTTTTCTTTTGAGTTAAGAAGAGAGACTCAACGAGTTGACGCCTCAACTCGTCGAGTAAGGTCGTAACTAATGACTCGGATTAATGAATGGACTCGACAAGTCGGTGAGGCAACTCGACGAGTCTGCGCTGTTGGCAGAAACCCTAAATATTTGGGCCCGAGCCATATTTAAAGGCAATTATGGCCTTCAATTGCGATTACCTTTCCCATAAGTGAGAACCCTAGCGAGCTTGAGTGTGTAGAGTGAGAGGAAGAGTTATATTGAGCTTTTTGGTGTGATAGATCTGGACCCTTCTAGGTTCAGAGAGCCGAGAATATGAAGCTTTAGTAGAGTAAACCTTGGGGTTCGAAGTTAGGAAGCATTTATGGGATTTTTATGGTAGATATAGTTACTTTCATCTTACACATAGATATATATGAAGTATTTTATATAAATTACGTGCTATGTGTGCATATTATTTGAATACTTGTTGTCTATGCTGGATGAACGATTTTATACATGTTTTAAAAAATTTAAACGGTATATTTATTTTATATCTACAAATATATTGCGGATGAAACATTGGTAGATGAAATAGTTGGTGTGTGATGAAATAAATTGATGAGAGATATGTGATGATAATTAGGTATATAGATGATGATGAATATGTGATGTAGGATTAAAGGAAATACCATAACCTTAACCAGCAATGTGGCGATGTAGTCATCTACCAGAGTATAGATGACGACCACGGACTATTTTAGACAACCCAGTGGAAACACCAGCAGGCCCATAACCTGTAGGTGATGAATTACGAGTTCAGGCGACGTTGTAACTACGTATTCATGCGATGATACTCCAACCCCTTACTATGAATTACGAGTTCAGACGATATTGTAACTACATATTTATAGGATGTCACAAAATTCGGATGTCAAACCAATGATCATAATTCACATCAGTGAGAATGGTTTATTTTTTTGTAAAACCAAAATCAGATTGGAAATTTTGATTTTTTATTTTGGAAAATTTCAAACCATTGGTTTTGTATTTCGGTTTTGGTTTTTTGTATTTTTTTTTTAAATATATTTTCAGGTTTTTTTTTTTTTTTTTTTTTTTTTTTTTCCATAGATTTCTTCATCAACAAATGTTGCTACAATTTAACAAAAATAAATAAATTGCTAAAACATAATACAAGAGGAAGTTTGTTCACATTTAGTCATTGAACTTTTTAGAGAGAAACGAACTTTCGATTTTGTTCATATTTAGTCAGTAAACTTTTTTTCGTTATCTATTTGCCATTGAACTATTGAAACTGTTCAAATTTTACCCTTATGACCGGCTGTTGCCGGTCATAAGGGTAAAATGTGAACAGTTTCAATAGTTCAATGGCAAATGGATAACGAAAAAAGTTTAGTGACTAAATGTGACAAAAGTCGAAAGTTCGTTACTCTTTCAAGTCATTATCCCATAAATTTTTAACCATCTTTAACACTAGCTATATTTATTTTAGGCCCCAAATCTATTATAGATAAAATTTTATAAATGGTCCATTTGGTATTTTGAAATCTGAAGTTTAGTCTGTATGTTTAAAAAACACCACAGATGGTCCTACAGTTTCAAAACAATTAACAAACAGTACATTTTGCTAAATCCATTAGTTTTTGTCGGTTAACTAAATGCTATTTCCGTCATTTTATATGACAGGGACCATTTATGAATTTATTTATAAAAAATAAAATATAATTTAAAATAGAAAAGGGTCCCACCTCTCTCTCTATCTCTCTCGTATAGATGGATGAATGAAAGGCCTGATATATTTTAATTTCCCAAATAGAAAAACATGCTATCATATGAAATTATTTGCACAGAAGAACCATGTTTGACTAAAAAAGTCATAATTAGACTTTGATTTCAATAGAGAGGAGAAAAGGCAACCACCTTTCTCTCTCTCTCTCTCTCTCTCTCTCTCTCTCTCTCTCTCTCTCTCTCTCGTATAGATGGATGAATGAAAGGCCTGATAGATTTTAATTTCCCAAACAGAAAAACATGCTATCATATGAAATTATTTGCACAGAAGAACAATGTTTGACTAAAAAAGTCAAAATTAGACTTTGATTTCAATAGAGAGGAGAAAAGGAAACCACCTTTAGATCGAGCACATGTTATCACGAGAGACTTGGATTTGCAAGTTTGGAATCAAAACTGGAGAAAGGGATTCAGACATGCCATGGCTACAACACCATTTGTGTTGCCTCGCCAAGTTACGGGCTGAGTTTCACCCATCACCAGGAACTAGTGCTCGGAGAAGTTAATGCACAACTATATCATCATCACCTCGATTTTTGGTATAAGGGTTGATTAGTAGAGCATCTGAGAAGACAAAAGCTTTAAATCGAAACAATTTTAGAAAATAAACTTGATGGACTGGATATGGTCTCTGACGAACACACATAATCTAAGATCAGAGGCTTCTGAGAGCTTTGATTTTTTCATTCACTGATTGGATTTTGCTTAAAGGTCAATTTCTGAGTTTTTCACCATCAATTTGCAGGTGTCTGCATTAATCATTTTATGTGTGTGTATTTTGAAGAAGATGAACACAGAAAAGCATTTTGGTGTGTGACGTTTGAAGGTAGGAATGTGGGTTTCTATAGATTTCTTCCGTGTTCATTTTGTGTTCTTCATTTTGTATTCATGATCATCTTCAACCTCCACCTTTTATTAATCCTCCTTGAAATGAAAAGGGGAGAAGAACGTAAGGAAATCAAGTAAATAGATTATAGCATGGAAATATGATTCAAACTAAATATCAAGCACTTGGTGGACACTAAACTTAAATTTGTGAAATCATACTAAGATGAAACATGCTTGCCTTTGTTACAAACTCATAAATTGACAAAATGGTTATGAAATTATATTGATGTTTTTGATGTTAAATCAAAAGCGTATCACATGTATGCTTACAATTTGGGTGAATCGGAAAAAACAAATCTTGAAATCTGTACATGTATATGGATTTTGGAAGGTTCATCAAGAGAGAGAGAGAGAGAGAGAGAGAGAGAGAGAGAGAGAGAGAGAGAGATCCTTTCTATATTAAATAATTAAATTTTATTTTTTCTAAGACAAAACTTCATAAATGGTCTCTATGATAGAGAAACTACTGATAGAGAAACTTCATAAATGGTCTCTATGATAGAGAAACTACTGAAATGCCCTTTAGTTAGGGTACATAAGCTAATAGATTTAGGAAAAAAAGATCACCGGTTAAAAGTTTTGAAAACACAGGGACCATCTATTAGATTTTTTTAACTTAGACTAAACTTCAAATTTCTAAATACCACAGGGAACATTTATAAAGTTTTGTCCTTTTTTTAGGTTAATAAGAGTAACTGAAACATCAAACAGTGAAATTAGGAACTTGAAGTACAACGACGATTCGTTCCTCAATCATATGCGTGCAACCGGTGATTCAAATCGACTAAATGTTTAATTTAGGGATTTTGCACATTGACATTTATTTATAAAGATTTAAATCAAAACGAAGACATTAAGCTTAACAAGGATGTTTCTTGGTTTGAGATTCGATCTGAATTACTAATCAATGGGAATCTCTTTTGGTTAATATTTATTTTGTTTCGTGTAGGTGGTGGAGTTGGCCAGAAATGCCACTGGGCACTAGTAAAACAAAATAATTCCATACTATTTTCTGTTAGCCATTAGACATATGAAGATCTTGGGGAATTACTTGTTATGCAACATATATAGATCATATGATAAATTGATGAATTGATTCCACTGTATAATTGGATTTTATTAGAGTTTTGGAAATGACTTGACTGCATATGACCCCGGTTACAAAACCGGATTATATTAGCCATCTACTATAACTTATTTTAGGGCCTAGCGTACATTACAATAGCAATCATTGTCCAAAAACTTAAACCCTACTCGCGAGTTCTCTTCTTTCTCTGTAACCCACCTCGCTTTTCTAGATGATAAGCTTTCGAAATATTCCAAAAAAAAAAACAATTAAACGACTTGTATCTTTTCTACTCCGTATTCATCATTGCAAACAACAGCAGCCGAAAGTTGCTTTCTCAACATCATTTTTATTTTCATCCTGCAAAACAAAAACAAACTACCATCACTATTTTTAAATAAATAACCCCAAGTCAAGATTGCGAAACCGTGTATTATTTTTAAACTCCCTTAAACAAAGTTACGCCTTTACATCATTTATGGTGCTGGTAATAAGGTAAAGACTTTTTTTTTAACGTATCACGAAAAAACAGTAGAGCAACTTATCCTCATGCTTTTCTATCTTGGATTTGAAAATAGAATTCCATCAAAAATGAATAACAATACATAACGAACTTACTTGAAAATCGATTGCATCTTCAAGTATGTCAATGATTGTCTCCATGGTAGGGCGTTCCTCTGACTCCAAACTTATGCATTGGTATGCAAGGTCTTTGAACATATTAAAACATCGGCTATCAACTTGATTTTTTATAGCCGGATCAATTAATTTCTCAGGTTCATCGTTATAGTAACGTCTGACAAGATTTATCAGAAATTGTGGGTTACCGTCGACAAACTTTGTAGGCTTATATGTGGGTCTCCCACTCAATATTTCAAACAACACAACACCGAATGAGTACACGTCAGACTCTTTTCTCAGGATGCCACTTTCTTGGTAAAGAGGATCCAAATAGAAGTTGGTACCCGAAGCTTTAGTATAGATTTGCGTGTGTTGCTGATTTCTGGGGCCTTCTTTTGACAAACCAAAATCGCAAATTTTTGCATGCATATTTTCATCCAAGAGTATGTTTCCACACTTGATGTCTCTATGTATTACTCTTGTGAAGTCACCTTGACCCGAGTGGAGGTATTCAAGTCCATTTGCAGCTCCTAAGCAAATCTTGAGGCGTTGTGACCATGTTATGAGACCCCTCTTAATGGGGTCATGGAGATGATGATCAAGGCTACCATTATTAGCATACTCATACACTATGATCATCTCTTTCTCTTCATCACAGTAACCAACGAATGGAATGATGTTTTGATGGTGGAAGCTTGAAATCAACTTAATCTCAGTAAGGAACTCCTTTTTTCCTTGGTGACTTTTTGGGTCAAGATGTTTGATGGCCACTGTGCAGTTTTCCCAGCGTTCAGAGAGTTGTGCTTTGTAGACATTCCCAAATCCACCTTCTCCAATCTTAGTAATAGGATTGAAGTTTTCGGTTGCCAACTTGATTTCTTTGAGTGGAATTAACCAACTTTCTAGTTGTTCATGTTTGTGGCTACGCTTAGTGACTTTTGTAAAAGTTGGTCCATGGATCTGCGAGTATAAACAGATGCAACCGAGTTTATTTTCTTAAAGACACGGTTTTTCTTATGTGAAAATGACAAATCTAGTAGTTCAACAAATAAATCCCACTACTTGAGATGTTAAATGCATTCAGAGCATCCATAATGCATAGTTTAATGGGATAGTTGAATAAGATGACATACTTAATTAATATTCAATAGATTACACTCTTCTATTATGAGATGCTATGTTAGCATTCAGTGGATATAAAATGCAATGGTCATTGAACTTTTCAATCGGAAAAATGAAACATTATATATATATATATATATATATATATATATATATATATATATAGGGCTAGGTTATAATGTGGATAGACAAATACTGTATGGACGTGTGGATAATGCTATTTTATGAGAGTTACTAAGAGAATATGTTGTCTAGTAATGTGAATATGTTCAATTTCACTGAACCATTGTTATTTTAATGGATTTTCACTAATTCTAATTCATTTTTGTTCTTATGCATTTTTTTTTTCATTTTTTTTCATTCTTACAGAATACGATTTAATAAACATTCTGATATCACTCTGACATAATAAGAATAATTAAAAGAATCTATAATAATCTTATAGACGATTTAATTAGTGAAAATGCGTAACAATTACAATAATTTTATAAGATTGAATGTATTCATATTAATTATCAAACAACATATTTTCTTTATCATTTTCACAGAATACATATCAATCTACATTTGAACCTAGCTCTCTCTCTCTCTCTCTCTCTCTCTATATATATATATATATATATATATATATATATATATATATATATATATATATATATATATATATATATAACTCTTTTGAGATCAATGCATTGTAGGAAAATTAATGTATAGTTATATAGTAGATAAAATAATAATATATCAATCCATTAAACTCTCATTAATTTACACTAAACTCTATAAGTTTAATTCACTCTATAAGGTTAATTCAAAGAGTACTGAACTCCTACCGTTATAGACTTGTTCTTAATTTGTTTCTTTAGTGTTGTAGTTTTAAAAGGTAAAATATCTAAGAAATTTCCATTTTTTGTGATATTACATCATAGAGGATAGATCACAAAAGATTTATGACCTCTTAGCTATTGATGACAATAAATCTAAAAGAAAAGACTTACTTGGATATTTTGTGCTTCCTTAAGCCTCTTCATAACCTGGTGCATGGTAGGGCGATCGTTTGAGTTCAAACTAATGCATCGATAAGCGAGTTCCTTAAACTCATGGAAAGAATCGATCTTAATTTGATCTTTAATATGATAATCGACTATTTTATCTAGCCCATCATCATAGTTGCTACGGATCCAATCTATGAGTGTTTGTGGAGGACCAAAACCAGTGATGGTGTCTTTAGCAAGCTTACCAGTCACCATTTCAATAAGTAGCACTCCAAACGAGTAAACGTCTGATTTTGTTGTAGGGATGCGACTTTCATTGTAAATGGGATCTAGGTAATATTTGTCACCCAGATCAACAGTTGTCTCGACTGGAGTATCATCTAGCTTATTTCTGGGGCCCGATAGTGACAAACGGAAACCCGAAACTTTGGCTACCATATACTCACCTAGTAATATATGTGTCGGGTTCACAGATCTGTGAATTACCCTTTTGTCCTTCCCAAGACCCGAATGTAGATAGTTGAGACCCTTTGCTGCATCTATGCAAATATTCAGACGAATCCCCCACGTTAACCAAATCCTCTTCATGGGGTCTACCAGATGATCGTAAAGGCTTCTATTGACAGCGTATTCATAAACTAACATCATCGAATTGTATTGATCATTGTAGCCAATGAAGCCGATGATGTTTTCATGGTGGAGTGTTGAAACCACCTGAAGCTCGTTATTGAACTCCTCCTTTACTTTGTGAACACCCTGAATAAAGCGTTTGACAGCAGCGGTTTGGTTTTGCCACTGTTCACCGAGTTTCGCAAAGTAGACCCTCGCATAGACCCCACCTCCTCCCGGAATTTGGTTTGCGAAGCCCTCTGTGGCTTTGAGGATCTCCCTGGTTGGAATTGTTCGCTTTATCCCCGAAGAAGACATTTGTTTGTGATATTTGTGGCTGAATATGTATGGTTTGGGTTTTTGCGAATATGAACGTACTGAGTTTAGGAGGATGAGATCGGCTCTGGGGTACAAATAGCAAACATTGAAATTGTTAATCAATCATGCTTTTTTATTTTAATAGGGAAACTAAGATTATTATATGATATCCTTTTAAATACACAATTTTTATATAAGTCATGAAAAAATAATTTTTAATTTTATTACATCTTTAATTTTTAATTATCTGTTGATTATTCTACGTCAACTTTTAATGTCAAACAAACTACCTGTATTTGTACAATCGACAGCTGTGTATTTTGCTTTCGACCAGCCAAAGTATATAACTAGGTCCAATGTGAATAGATTTTACAAAATAAAAAGGTCGTCATTTTTATAAAAATAAACACAAGCTGAACATTCGAACTCCAAGTATGCTAACCAGTAAAGAAGATTGACCTTATTAAATACTGAGTTAATAACTTTTGTTACATAATTGTGATCTTCACACTACAAAGAAGTAGGAGAATCAAGGGTAACGTATTTAACAACTACATACCCTTTAGCAATGACATGAAGCCCTTCGTTGTTGTCGCCGCGCTAAAGGTGTCGTCCCTAATGCCAAGGTCAGCGATCTGTTTGATTCGTCAAAAAATAATCCTAGCCATCTCTGTTGTTGATCGATCCAACGGCTGGGACACGTTCTCAACCAAACCTACAGAGATGACGACGATAGCGGGGAAGCCATTTTACCACAAATACTCACCAAAACGGTATCACTGATTTCCACTTTGCCGTCGATGGCGATGAAGTCGTTTTGTTAATTGTTATGACCTCATATCAACCACAACCATAACAACCCACACATATGGTGCTATTCTCCTTGAGGTCTCGTTGTTCTGCCATAAGTTCCATGCAACGCCATCATCTTGTGTCAAAAATTACCATCAGTGATGCTCTTCTTCTTCCCAAACGGTTAACTTACTTTTCTCTTTTGACCTTCTTTGTCTAAGCGCTCCCTACAAAAATGGAGAGTATTAGCGGTGACATGTGTCGTCGCTAAAAGTCCAGGATGTCTCTGCTAAAAGGTCGTCGATGTTACTTCGTCGCTAATGCTCCATAGTTTGTCGCTATTGCTATGCATCGCTGCTAATGGACTTTGGTTGCTAATACCTTATGTCACCACTAATAACCTTGTGTCACTACTAATTGTATTTTATTTTTTTTAGTATTTAAAATTGAAATAAAAAAAAACAATATAAAAAGTATAAAAACTGCTATGAAATATTATTTGAAGAAAAATAGTTCGAAACGTTAAAATTTAATAATATATACTGCACCAAATTTTAACATCCCAATTTTCAAGAGCAAAAATTTCATTTTTATATAATGATTTAGCAAAAAAAAACAATTATATGAAAACATCATCGAGTCACATCATTTCATAAAACCATACTCAGATGTCTCAAACCATAACATACAAACAGTAACAACGTCAGAGTACAATCCCAAGATTATTATAATGCGGAAATCATGTGTGTGTGATGCGCTGCTACCGTGCCAGCTCCTTCCCCTTCGATGAAGAGGTACCTGAAAACAAAACTGAAAACAGTAAGCATAAAGGATAGTGAGTTCCCCCATCATACCACATACCACATAACAAACATATTGTTGAACAATTCTGGAGTGCCCGACCTACCCTGTCACACAATTTTGGGGTCCCCAACCTACCCTGTTCGACAATTTTGGGGTGCCCGACCTACCCTGTTTGGCAATTCTGGGGTGCCCGACCTACCCTGTCTAGAAATTCTGGGGTGCCCGACCTACCCTCTGATTTATCGCAACCAGATACGAGGACTATTTCACACTTACTACAACCACATAATAACATAGCATGAACATACTGTCAGACATATCTGGGGTGCCCGACCTACCCTTCAGTCCTTACGACCGTACTTGGGGACTATTTCCCCCAACTTTTTACTATCACATAACATCTTATCATGCTAGAACATAAACATAACAGATAACCACATACCAGATAATTATCATGAAGACAATTATCTCTACTATATTTCTTACTAGTGGGTCGGGCTTGGTGCCTTAGACCCACGTCTACTGGAAGGTAACTCGCATAGATACCGTGTAGCATCTGCACTGTCCTCGGTGCTAGGATCAACTCTTCACAACCTCCTACACATAACAATCTTCCTTAATCACTTTCTCATACTCCTAACCATTTCAAGCGTCAACTCAGGTTAAAGTCAAAGTCAAGGTCAACAACCTAGTCAAAGTCAACTTTTGGTCAAAGTCAACATCTAATTGAATCAACTCGCCGAGTTGGTCCACCAAATCGTCGAGTTCCATAATCCATAAACTTCTGGAACATCGATCCTACTAGTCGAGTCTTTCAAGAACTCGTCGAGCTTCCTCCTAAATAATCGAGACTTCTACTCCTAACTCGCCGAGTTCTTCTTGAACTCGTCGAGTTCTCCTTCTTACAGAATCGGGACCTTTGGCTCATGACTCGCAGAGTTCATCCTTGAACTCGTCGATTCCTGCTTCATATAAGTTGAAACATTTAGCCCTTGACTCGCCGAGTTCATCCTTGAACTCGTCGACTTCTTCTTTAAATATGTTGGGACATTTGCCTTCAACTTGCTGAGTTCATCATTGAACTCGTCGAGCTCTTTGATTTTAAAGTCCATATCCATCTTGTTGAGTCCTCTTATAGACTCAACCAAATTGCTAAGAAATAGAAAAGGTTGGGGAACCATGACCCAACTCGTTGAGTCCTATGAACAACTCGTTGAGTCCCCCATAGTCCAAGTCCATCCATCTGATTTTAGTCGGGATTACTGCATCCAAATCATAGATCTGACCTCCTACGGTAAATATAACACATAAAGTTAAGAGCCTTACGTGCATGCATGTGTTTTATGAAGCTAAAACACCAAAAATAAACCATAAAGGAGTTCTAATGCATAGGATAGGGCCATAGCTCAATAAAGGTGGCAATTTTAAGTTTCCTGAGCTTAAAGGTTCCAAGATCTGAAGTCATTACTTTAATATGCACTCAATCTCGAAAGTGACTTAGAAATGGCCCAAAAACGATAATATACAAGCCTTAAAGAAGATCTAAGTGATGGAAAGCCAAGGTTAAAGCTTTTTACCTCAAATAAGCTGGAAATGCAACTAAAGCTCTGGATCTACTGCCTTATTCTTGAATCTCCAAGCCTTTCATTCCTTCTCTAAGCTTCAAATCACTAGAATGACACTAAATAGATAAAGAACACTCACAAATTGATTAGGGTTTCGAGAATAGGATCTGAAAGTGATGGAGGCTGAAGTGGAGGTCATATACAATGTTTAAATAGGGTGCAAACCCTGAAAGTTAGAGTTTCACTCTGGCAGACCTACTCGTCGAGTCATGGGTTTCCGACTCATCGATTGGAGTCTTCCACCCGCGACCAAGATCCGCTCCTACTCGATGAGTTTGCGGCCACCAACTCATCGAGTCCCAATATAAAATGCAAAATTCATATTTAACATACATACCAGGAACCGGGCATTGCAAATCTCCACCACTTATTTTAGACTTCGTCCTTGAAGTCTGCAGTTGCACCCGAAAAAAGATTGGGGTAGTGCTCCCTCATCTCGTCCTCCGGCTCCCAAGTTCATTCTGAGACCTTGTGGTGTTGTCATTGCACATTCACCAACTCCACCCTCTTGTTCCTCAAATCCTTCAACAACCTGTCGAGGATAGCTACTAGTCGCTCGATGTAGTTCAGGCTATCATCCACCAGAATATCCTCTAGAGGCACCACCGTAGAGTTGTCTACCAGGCACTTCCGCAGCTTGGAGATGTCAAAAGGTGCCATGGATCTGGCTATGCTCGGCTGGATGATCCTATTGTATTAGATGTATAAGCTCATAACTATTATTGGTATGTACTCGACCCGAGAGTAGCATGGTCCATTTGGGTTACATATCATCATGACAATTTGTTAGGATGGACTTTTGAGAAGAGGTTATATATGATTTATTAATATGTTGTAAGTTCTAATATACTAATATGATATCATATGATTTAATTAGTATTGATCAAGAATTAGTTTGGAATTAATTTAGTGATCAAGAGAGACTAATTAAATCTATGGGGACTAATTGTGGTAATTGTTATATTTATATGTGTTGGGCTTATGATTCGTATTGGACTAAGTTTATGTATGGATAAAGAGGTGGGCCACATGAAGCACGGTTCATAAACCCATGGGTATGGATTTGGGTTATATCCATGACCCTTGGAATCCTACATATAAATATATGCTCCATAACATAAAAACATGGACTTCTAGTTCTTGGAGTTCATGGAGGTGTTTTAATGCATGGAAATTCTATCTCAAGATTCACCTTTGTCTTAAGTGTGTTGTGAGCCACTTGAGGCATTCATACTTTTGCTGCTAAGCTCTTAAGGCCAACTACTATAAGATTTCAAGCTACAACAAAAGGTATGTCATCCTTACTAGTATTTTATATTGTTTATGTCAATTGCATGCTAGTTATAAGATTAATGATTTGGAAACAATATTACATGTATAATTAGAGAGAACATAGATCCAAGGCATTTAGGGTTGTATGTGCACCATATGATGTTGTAGTATACAAAACCCAACAGTGGTATTAGAGCCATGGGTTGTTTCTATTGTATTTGATGTTATTATTGGTTTTCGAAGCAAAAAAATTCGAATTTTTTGCATTCTGACTGCAGGACTCGCCGAGTCCACTGGGTGACTCGACAAGTTGCTTGAAGATACTCTTGGATTCGTCGAGTGCATCATGGAACTCGATGAGTTGGCAGTCCTAAGTGCAGATTTTCAAGTTTTGTGGCCTTTATGTAGGGCCTTTCATTTTGAGATTCCATAGTTCTTGCTCAAGTGCTTGAATCTCAACTCTCGTGAAATATTCTTCTTTCAGCAACATTTTCAATTATGACCAAGTCAGGGAGTTCGCAGGGATAATTCCTAGAGTTTTTACTTGGTTATTCTACCAAGTAAGAGCTGAGTCAATAAACATACTCACT